CGTTTGTCTACCGTATTAGATTAAGTAAACTGAGTTTAAATTGAACAGCTGGCTGGCATTTGATTGGCTGATCTTAGTTTAAACCAGCCAGATCGGGCGTTTAAACTTAGTTTAACCCACGGCCGTGCACTGAAAAACTGGCCCTAAGAGAGTTTAAGTGTAGTCTTTCGAATATATTTTGACATAAAATATATATTAAAAAATTTTGTGATCTAAATCTATTTAAAATATATTAAAACTATAAACAGCTCTATGATTTTGTTCTCAGAGATCGTGCCAACAGAGTATTGGGATTTTCTTTCACAAGTAAAACTAGGCTTTCGAGCTTGTGTTTAGTATTCACGACGTTAGAACGGCATGAAATTAATAAAAAATGTTCCAAATTAGTGTCTAGCCGCCAAAAAGTAAGAAAACAAATGCAAAATCATACATTTTTCACAATTTTCTAACCTTGCGCTACACCAACGAAAGCAAAATTCTGTTCGACCGAAAATTTCGACACGCTTGTATAGCTCATAATACAAATTACACTTTCGATCTTCGATAGCCATATATTTGTTTTTTTTGTAATTTTGTTATTTATATTTAAATTTAAATAATTATTCCTACATACATTGATCTAATTTTAAAAATCTTAACCACCTCCAAGCGGCCTCGAACCTGCGATCCCAGAACCAGAACCAGTAGTCTTCACGTGACGCCACAGCCGACATTTGTAAGAAAAGCAATTAATTGCGTTTTATTTTAGGCAATTCAAAGGCAGATGTCGCTGAACGCTTAAGTTCTTCGAAAATGTCGAGCTGGTAGGCACATACTAGTTTATGAACTAGTACTTTTTCTAACTGGTTTGGGTTTTCACTGCAGGGTATGTATGTACCTATGCTAAGTAAGCGCTCATTCAAATTTTCCCACTTTGTTTTATCACTCTTTCGCATAAATGTACTTGCATATGAAAATTCATACAAACATACATATGTACATAACATTTTCCTAAACTAATATTCAATATTTTTACATTGTTTGCAACCATATCTTTTAATCAATCTCCTTATTTATGTAGATTAGCGAACATACCAACAAACATTAGTACATGCATAGCATAATTTAATATTGAACCGCATTGCTTCTACCCTTTCAATTACCAACAACGACATGTATTAATACTAAGGGCTGTTTTCTGAAGTAACTTTTAACTTTAAAACGCACTTTATATTTAAAGGTTGGATTAAAAATCAAGCTATGTCTAAAGTTGAGCATTTCTATTATCGGGTTTTGACGTATGTATGTTTCTTGGTTGTAAACCAATTTAAAACCGATAACAAAATTCTTTATTTTAGACATAATTATAAATTTTAATACAACCTTTAAATATAAAGTGAGCTTTAAAGTGACAGGTTACTTAAGAAAACGGCCCTAAGAGTAACAGCGTTACACTTTTTTGCTTTTTTATTATTTTAAAGTTAGGTACAAATAACGTAACTTTGGATTAGCATTTTCCACTTGCACATGCAAATTGGCTATCTTCGCTTGGCTAGTTTCACTAAAAGTTTAGTGATAGTGAGTTGTTTCTAACTATCACTAAAGTTTTGGTGATAATGCAATTTGTTTTTCACTATCACTAAACCTTCAGTGATAGTGAAATTTTTTCTTCACTATCACTAAATTTTCAGTGATAATGAATTCTGCATTTTAACTATCACTGAATAAGCAGTGATAGTGCAATTCAGTGGTAGTGCAAAAATTCCCAACCCTGATTTAGTTAAGTCTTAAATTTTCATATGTTATTCTTTAAACGATTTCAAGTCTAAAATTAAATTGACAGATAGAACTTGCGGTATTAACTACCTGGCAGAACGATGTATATGTCCTTTTCGCGCGCCTTTTTTTATAGAATCAACGGAATTTTTTAGCACCTTCAAACTTGTACTTAGTTATAATAAAATTTATTAAGCTACAAAACTACATAATCAAAATTTTACTACGAGATCTACGTTTGGGGCGTTCTGCCACCCTTTTACTACCGGCTGATCGTTCTGCCAATGTAATCTGATAATTGTGGACTATCAGAGCCTCGATGGGTAAAATTGCAGCCATATTTTTGGTCGATGATTTTTACAAGTTAAGGGCGTTCTGCCTCCCAGTGCTACCCTCCCCAGGGTCTAATATCACGGATGCCAACTCAACATACCCCCCGTAACGCGCTGGCAAAAAATAGGCCTTAACTAAATGTTCGCGAAAAAATGTCACTGGCTCTCCTACTAAATGGAATATTAATGGTTATAATAATAATTATCATGAACTTGAAATATTAATTAAAGCCCATAACCCCTCAGTTATATTATTAAACGAAACACACTTCAAAAACAATATATCAGCTCGTACTCCAATAGCCTACATCGGTCATTTTTATAATCTTCCATCCAACACATCAAGAAAACAAGGTATTGCTATCCTGATTAGAAGAAACATACCGCATAACGTGCTTCCAATATCTTCTTCGAATATCTCTTCCATTTACATAAAAATTTCCTCCCCCATCAAAATCATACTAATCTGTGCCTATTCTCCTCCACAACAAACATTTACCACAGCAGACTTTTTTAACCTTCTCCCTTCTTGCTCTATTCCCTTCTTACTAGCTGGTGACTTCAATGCCTGGTGTCCTCTTTGGGGTTCGGCCTCAACTAACTCCAAAGGCCGCATAATTGAAGATGCTATACTTAGCTCTGACTGTGTTGTCCTTAATGACGGTTCCCCTACCCACTTTTCACCCATTCCACCTTCACACACATTGACCTTACCCTTTTCTCTACTTCCCTCTCCCCTAAAGTTTGTTGGCATTGTTTAAATGATCTGCATGGTAGCGAATATTTTTCTATCAAAGCTAAAATCTCCTCTCAAAATTTTTTCAAAATTTTTTCAAACCCAGAATATTTTAAAACTGATTCGGCTGATTGGTCCAAATTTCAAGATTTTTGTTTACGGTACTCAGATACTGTTCCTTCTTCAATTAATATTAATCAGGAAACTTCTAGAATTCAAAAAATAATAAGATCATCAGCCAACCAATCTATACCACAAACCTATCCCAAACCCCGTAATGCCAACCCTCCTTGGTGGGACAATGAATTATTTTCGCTTAGACTATAAGCAACAAACATGGCATCAATTTAAGCATAATCGCTCGTCATCAAATCTTGTAGCTTCAGCCAAACACCTTGACTCAGATCTAACTTTACTTCAACTCCAACTCCTGGCTTAAATAAAATTTCCTATCCCATTATCAAACATCTCCCTTCTCTTCTACTTTCCCGCCTCATCAACCACTACAACATTTTTCGAACTGCTAGCATCCCCCAAGTCTGGAAAACCAATGCAATCATACCCATTTTAAAACCTGGCAAACCTCCTTGTGAAGTTACCAGCTATCGTCTGATTTCCCTTTTATCCTGCCAGGGAAAACTTTTAGAAAAAATTATTGCCACTAGACTCTCCTGGTTTCTTCAGTTCAATAAGCTTATTCATTCTAATCAGGTTGCATTCACAAAAGGTCAAATTACTATTGACGCCCTTTTAAATCTTGACCAATTCATATGTGATGCCTTGTCCAATAAAAACCATGTCTCACTTCTGTCGCTTGATTTCGAAAAGGCGTTTGATCGTGTTGGCATACACGTAGTTTTAAGAGAGTTAGTAAAATGGAAAGTAGGACCCCGTATATTTAATTTCGTTAAATCTTTTCTTTCTAAACGCAAATTCACAGTTCTTATTTCAGGCACTTCTTCCCCCACTCTTCCCTTAGATAACGGCACCCCTCAGGGTTCACCGCTATCGGTTATTTTGTTCACCATAGCATTCGATGAAATTAGTTCTACCCTATCCAATTTCCCCATTATACAGCATCAACTATATGCTGACGACCTTCTCCTATTCACAAAATCTTCTGATCTATCTTCTATATCCTCTACCTTTAAAGAAATTCTTTCCCAATTATCCTTGTGGTCACGCTCGTCAGGCGCCTCAATATCGTACTCCAAATCTAAAATGCTGCACATTTGTAGAAAACATAATTGTCATTTCCCAGCAATCTCATTTAACAATGTAAATATTTCATGTTCTCCTACACTTAAGTTTCTTGGAATAATTCTAGATAATAAGTATGTATTTAAACATCGTTGTCAGTATATTAGAAATAGAATTATCAAAAATACCAATATTGTTAAGTACCTATCATGTAAGCGCTCGTTCATTGACCCAGTACTTAGAGCTGGAAAACTATCGATAGTCTGCACCATCGATAGTCACCGATACTATCGACACAAACCATCGATAGTTTTCGATACTATCGGTATTTTTTACATCGCTTTTTTTTAGTTATAACAGCAACATAAAAATTTATTTTACTTCAAACTGCACAGAAAAACAGATTATAAAAATATTCGATATGCATGCATACATACATTCATTCACTAGATTGAGTATACGCTGATTTGTTTAAATATTCGGAATGTTTTTCATGTTATGTTTCTATTGTTATTTTTTTGATTAAAATATGGCTTATATTTTAACAAACACCATATAAATCCAAGTTTCAAAGTTTGTAAATATTATACAAATACTCATCAAAATCTCAAACCTATTAATAAGAGCTTCTACAAATATATTTAGTATGCAGTTTTATAACCCTATCAATTTTAGTACAATAATGTGGAAGTTTCAAGTATCTTAAAATTCGTGTTTATAATTCTGGGAGTGCTTTGAATGGAAGAATATGCGCAGCGCCGTCACAAAAAAAAATATGAAAAGAATCTTAAGACAGTTAAAATTTGCACATTATTGTACTAAAATTGATGGGGTTATAAAACTGCATACTAAAAATATTTCTAGAAATTCTAATTAATGAGTTTGAGATTTTGATGAATATTTGTAGAATATTTACAAACTTTGAAACTTGGATTTAAATGGTATTTGTTAAAATATAAGCCATATTTTAATAAAGATCAACAATAAACATATAACATGAAAAACATTGCGAATATTAAAAAAAAAATCGGCGTATACTCAATTTAGTGAGTGGCTGTACATACTTATTCCAATTTTGAAATCTTAGTTGAACATAAATTTTTATGTAAAAATACGAGCATGTCTACTGTTTCTGGCTTTAGACTTGACCTTCGATCGTTGACTATCAATCCGGCTGTGCTGAAAACTCGCTCAGATTCTACTGAAGATGACGGTATACACAAATCCTTTCGAGCAAGTTGAGCCAAGACATCTTTTGGTTTAGCATTTGCCTTAAAATAAATGTAATATTTATGTAAAAAATGCGTTAGTTAAAAAACTATTACCTTCCAGTATAACAATGGATTAGTATCCCCATCACAATGTTCCAGCTCCAGATATTGTCTCCTAGTTATGATAGCATCAACATTAGTAGTTCGATTTTTTCTTTGCCGCCTTTGGGCCAAGAAATATAGAAGAGTGTTCGAACTTTCTTCTTTTGAATTTGTGTCATTTTCATTAACTTCGTCGTTACTGTGACGCTTCATATGAATGCTTTCAATGACAATTTCGCTGTCTAAAAGCTTAAGAGCCTCTTCAGCATTTGATTCTTGTCTAAATCCGTCCTTTTTGAATCTGGCATCCAAAAGCGTGCTAATCCTGGTGACTGTTCTAGATTCATATGAAGCTAAACGTACTTGCATTCTGATTATAATGGCCCGTAGTCATAGTCAAAATAAAGTCGACTTTAAAGTTAGTTGCAGCTTTTTGACATAATTTTCAATGGGATATCTGTCAAAAAAGCTGCAACTAACTTTAAAGTCGACTTTATTTTGACTATGACTACAGGCCAATGAAATTTGCGACAACACCTCCTTCCTCTGTAACCAACTTTTTCTGAATGTCATTCAGGGAGACGAACATTCCACAAATTAACGGATTGATTAGAGATACGGTCACATTACTCGAGCTTGATAATTGCCTGGTTGCCTCTTCAAAGGGCGTTAGAATAAGCACCAAATCATTTAAAACCAAAGGTTCTTCATTTCGCAACGGCTCTGGACCTCTATCTAAATTCAAAAGACACGCATTAACTGAATTTTTCAATTCCATAATTTTTATCATGGCCAATGAACTGTTCCAGCGCGTTGGAACTTCCTGTATCAATTTCAAGGGCTCATTACAATTATGTTTTTCCTTTAATTTTTCTGTAGCAATGTTACTACTTTTAAAAAATCTAACGATATTTTTACATTTTGAAATAATACTTTCGATTGAATTCAATTTTAGTGTGTCCTGTATTATTAGATTAATGGTGTGAGCCATGCATGGCAAGTGTCTTTTTTGCAGGTTTGAGCACATTTTTATCATTGTGCTGTCGTTATCTGTCACAATACAAACTATCTTATTAGTAATTTGATACTCGTCAAATACTGATTGCATTGTTCTTGTGATGTTATCGGCCTGTTTATTTGTACGGTCCAACAGATGTTTGGTGGACAACACGTAACATTTCAAATCAAAATCTTTTGTAATGAAATGACTTGTCACAGTAAGATATCCATCATTAGCCCTTGAGCTCCACATGTCGCAAGTTATTGCAATATGCGCGACACTCTCCAGTTCATTTTTAATCTGGATTTTGATTTCATCATATTGCGATTTAATAGTTTATTTTTTAGAGTTGTTTTGCACGGTAACTCATACCTCGTGTCTAAAACACGAACAAAATTTCGAAAGCCTTCATCGTTAACTATTGAAAATGGTTGATAATCTTGGCACACCATTAATGCAAGCGCGCGATCGATTTCCTTCTTTCTTGACGAATTTTGATCATATCTCGGTGCGATTTTGATAAAAAAGTCGAGTGTACTGAAAATGCAATAATGAAATTATATCAAAAAGGCGGAATAGTAACTATTGGAACACAATACGGATAACACAGGAAATACGGCTCAGAAACTCGGTTAGCTGTTGCTGATTCAGCCTAATATTTGTTGGAAAGACTAATATTTTCATGACATTAACTTCTTGTGTAGGCTCGTCTGACCGTATCACCCGTGTTAACCGAGCTGCCGATCCGTATGCCGCTTCTTAAAAAAAAGTTCACCAACAAAATACCTTTGCGATGAAGACGCGGTCGACGATGTAGTGCTACTGCTGCTGGTGGTGGCGTTGCTCCGCATACTGCTTCGAATACCGTCGCACCTAGACATGTGGTCTTTTAAATTGCTCGAATTTCCACAGTGTGCATATTCTTTTTCACAATACGTGCACTTAGCTTTTGTATCCTTTTTCCTAAAATATTTCCACACATCCGATATTCTGGGCTTTTTAACTTTTGGCGGCGAAAGTGACTCACCCTCGTCAATGCTAATAATGTCGTCCATCTTAAAATAGTTTCATTTGTTAATTGAAATTGTACAGAATGCTTATTTAATTATGTATGCACATATTTAATTCCTTACCGTTTCAGAAATCAATACGTTTAATCACAAATTCAACAAAATCACAAGCTTACGAACAATTTGAATTCCGCGTAAAGGAAGAGAAGTGAATAATATAAACATCGATAGTTCGATAGTCGCTGGACTATCGATAGTACCATCGATAGTACCAAACTATCGATAGTGGTGTCGATAGTATCGATAGTTTTCCAGCTCTACCAGTACTGCTCATTAATGTTGTCAAAGCACTCGTACTCTCCGTCATCAATTACGCCCTACAAATCTATGGGCATCATTCTAAAAACCATCTTAAATTGCTTGCTGCCCCGTATCACTCAGCTGTAAGGAGATCGCTCCGAGCATTCCCAACGTCACCTATTAAAAATATATTAGCGGAATCTGGACTTCCCTTTCTAAGAGACAATATGGAAGATAGCACCAGCAAACTATACCCTAGGATCATCCTTGGTTCCAATGAATCCCTACAAAATGCATTGTTTTCATTATCATCTCGTATCCGACCTCTAAAAGTTGAGTCAGCTTTATACAAATGCGTCATTTTTGCCAAAAAGAACCTTCCGTTAAAACCTCCTAAACTGCGTAAACTTTGTCATCCACCTTGGTTGATCCCGAAAAACTCATTCATTGACAAACTAGTTTGCCTACCCAAAATATCCACACCATAAGCGATCTATATCTCGGAGTTTCGTGAAGTAATGTATTCACTAAAGCACAATAATTGGAGATTTATTTTCACGGACGGATAGAAAAATCCCCAAACCTCTTTTGCTCTTGTTAGCGAGAAAGGAAAGCCAATACACCTATACACTACTTTTTCCATTTTGCTCAATTTTTATTGCTGAAGCCACCGCTATTTTCCACGCAGTTCTACACGCCGCAAAAAATTCAGCAAAAAATGTGTTATATGTACTGATAGCTTATCATGTTTTCAAGCTATACAAAATTACTCACACCTTACATACGTCTTCGGATTGGACACACTATAGTGACGCTTGCTCACCTCCTTGGAAGAAATAGAACCAACATCTGTCCATTTTGTGACTCAACAACAACTGTTCTTCATCTACTGGAATTTTGCCCTACACTGCAAGAAAAGAGGCAATACAATTTTAATACAGACCCGATTTCTCTTCTTTCGAATGCAACTGAGGAAAATATAAGAACCATATATCAGTTTTTTAAAGAATGTGACCTACCGAGACGAACTTAAAACAAAATTTTGTATTCAACGGACAGCCTCTGATGCTAGCGCTGCATGATTAGGTTGTACATATGTTAATAACATTGTATAAGCTTTAATGAAAAAATTAAAAATATTAATATTATACAGTGGTGGAAGAAATAATATAAACTTTTTATTTTGACCAGTGATGTGATGATAGTGGCTATAAATTCTACCTATGGGTAAATCATTGTTCTTTTTCCGAAACATTTTTTCATTATAAACGACCGCAAGCTCAAACATTTTTGAATGCAATTGTTAAAAGGCCATAAATAACAAAAATAAATTTTAAGATAGCCATACAACTTTTTTATTGTAATAGCTTAAGGTGACAACATTGTTTTACTTGCAGTTAGGGGAACGAATGGTATTATGGATTCAGCGGCTAATGGGTACCACCTATTAAAAAAAACGAACGATTTAAAATAGCGATTCAAACACAAATGAACCCTGTGAAGGGAAACCAATTAATTATAAAAATATTGCAGTCAAATATTGTGTTATATATATCATATTATAGCATGCATTGGGTCTTGACCCCTTTCGATGAAGGGATTTCGTGCACTTTATGAAACTCTCGTTTTATGAAACGTACGTTTAATGTCAAGTCCTATATTTGCATATTACACGTTTTTGTTCTAAAAATTTATTTTTTATATTTTGAATGCTTATTTATTTTTTGAAACGTATAAAACTAAAAAATTACACTACCGAGTATTGTGGCTTATTTGTATTTTCGTAGTGTCAGCTATTGGTGCTAATAATTTTGTCATATTTAATTATTTTTATAATCTTCTGGAAGCATGAGAAATATATATTTTTGTACACAAATTCAATGTACAGTGGTGTACCACAATAACCAATGTAAATGACACTTCTTTTTGAAGCCTATAATAAACGTTCAAAAATTTTATTCAACTTGTTCCTAATTTTTTCTAAAATAAAATAAAAAAACATTAAAAGTATGTATATCGACTTCTTTGCGCAAAATTATCGTATGTTATAAAAACCAAATTTCACAGGAAAGTATTTTTTGTGCTTTGGCTAGCACTATCAATACCAAATTTTAGATTTGGTGAAATAATTGAGAAATATAGCTAAAAGCAAGATTTTTTGTTCATTCTAATTTCTTAGCACATATGATAATTGCGCCCACAAGAAAAAAGTCATTGTCACATACGATAAAATTTACAGTCAATTTTGGGGGAAGCTATTGGGATTTAAGTCGTAGTATTTGAACAGGTGATGCGTTATGGATTGTAAAACAAGGTTGCATCAAAAAGTAAATTTCGCAAAAAATGTAACATACGATAATTTTGCGCAAATGCAGGAATGTTATTTTCAGAGATAGAAAACGAGAGTTCTAGCTTTAATTTAAGCCAGCAAGGTTCTATCACCTTTTATTTCTTTGCTAGAGCTTCAAAAATATTGCAAAAAACGCGATTTTTTTGACACTTTGACCTCTTTTTTTTTCAAATCTGCTGATAGAAACTATGCTTAAGGATTCGTAATCAGCACAAAAAGTCTATCAAAACAGCTTTAATATTTGCCATACCCAATTTTCTTTCTTTTTTTGTTGGGCTGTATTATCTATTAAAAATTAGCAAAAGTTCAGATTTCCGTTTTTTCTACAGGCTAGCTTTTCTCAATATTCATCGCAATCTGGATGTTAATGTTGATTCGGTATTAAAAGAATTTGTATCTATACCTCTGTGAATTGCATGCCCTGGTAGTTACATAGATATATATGTAAGTATGTCTATTAAGTTTATAATAAAAGAGCTTAAATAAGATCTATAAGACTGATAAAAAATTACTTATATTTGTCATTTAGGGGCGAGCGCACGCCTGTGGCCGTCACCATAATATTGTTATAACTTTGGAACTGCTTGCTGTTTTAACCTGAAACTTGCCCAAAAACTTCTTTAGATATTCGTCTATGATGCTGCATTAAAACAAAAATAAAAAATAAAATTTTATAACAACTTTTGCGTTTGAAAAAACTACCTCC